TCCGAATCCAAGCCACACACACATGAAGATTACATGTGACCCTAGATTTATGCCATTCTTTTAGGTCGGTTAATACATACAATACACTTTCCTTAATACCATTCCTAAATACAATCTAAATCTTTAGTAATTTTTCTTACCTGCAGAACTACATCGGCGCTATCGATGGTACGCATGTCCCAATCACAATTGGACAAGACAAGGCCAGTCCCTATAGAAATAGGAAGGGGACACTATCGCAGAATGTTATGTTTGCCTGTGACTTCGACCTGAAGTTCACTTTCATCTCATCTGGTTGGGAAGGATCCGCATCTGATGTAGGAGTGTTGCGGTCTGCTTTTGGCAAGGGAATTACTGTGCCAGCAGGCAAATTCTATCTTGTAGACGGTGGATATGCAAACACACCATCATTCCTTGCTCCCTACCGAGGAGTTAAGTATCATCTCAGTGAGTTCAGGAGACGTGACCAGAGGGGAAATGCATATGCCAACTACAAGGAATTGTTCAATCATCGACATGCGATTCTTCGAAATCACATTGAGGGGGCCTTTGGGGTTCTCAAAAAGCGGTTTCCAATTCTGAAAGTTGGGACACATTACCTAATTGAATCTCAAGTTATGATTCCAGCAGCTGCTGTTGTGTTTCACAACATCATTAGAGGGTTGAATGGGGGTGAAGAGTGGCTAGACATCCTACCTTATAATATCAACCCATCAAATTATGTCGACATGCCAGAGGGAGACACTAACTACCCAAGTGAGATGGAATCAAACCATGGAAATACCCTACGAGACCAGATAGCCCATCAGATGTGGGCTGCCTACAATATGTAGGATAGTAGTGTTTGAAATGTACTTTATGAGTTATGAGTTATGTATTTCTGTAATACATTATGTGATGCAACATTCTGTAATAAATTCTCCAATACATTCTATAATATGTTATGAGTTATGTATTTCTGTGTGATGCAACATTCTGTAATAAATTCTCCAATACATTCTATAATATTTTATGAGTTATGTATTTCTGTAATTATTTTTTGCAGCAATGTCGAAGGCAAGGGCTACATGGAACTCTAGATATGAGAAAGGGCTTGTTGACATTATGAGGGACCATGTGAACATCCCCTTGTGCAGGGGTCAGAATGGATGGAGTGGTGGAGAAGTTTACCCAAATGTATCCTTTAGCACGCTTCACAAAGCAGCAACTACAAGAGAAGGAAAAGGAGCTAAAGGGCAGCTATAAGGCGATACATGTAGCGTTAAAAGGATAGTGGTGTTGGTTGGAATGACTCATTGGCCATGGTCATCGCGGAACCGAAAAAATGGAAGAAACTTATCAATGTAAGAATTTTTCACTGAACCAAAAAATTGTTGCCATATTCTGGTTGAAAGTACTAACTATGTTGTTGTCTTGGTATTAAATAGGATAATGGAAAAATGGCTTGGTTCTAGAAGAAGCTGTTTCCTTTATATGAAGAATGTACGTCATTGTATGCTGGTATGTTATTTGAAACTTCTCTCTAAGTTTATCTAGCCTTATTGTTCTACTTGAGAGTAAAGCACCATCTAACTTGATAGTATGACTGTGCACTGCTTTCAGTTTAAGTTATAGTATACCTACACTTGATTGTGCACTATTGTTTTTGCATAGAAAGTGTTGCTACAGGAGATCTAAACTTCACATCAACTAAGCACTTGTAGCCTGCTCCTCTTGTTCCTATTGCTGCTCCAGCTGCTCCAGTTGCTCCCGTTGCAGTGTCTGATAGCACAAGTCCATGTGCTACTTTTGATGGGCTAGACGTCTCAAGTGCACGCAATGAAGCTCAGTCTGCACCTTCCAATCAAGATTCTGTGCAAGGAACGAATGGTGGGAGAAAGCGTAAGCAAAGTCATATTGGTGCTGCTATTGATGGTTTTGTGCGGTCTAAGAAGATGCAAACAAATAAAACCATGGAAGCTCTGAATGAAAAGAAGAAACAAGACGAAGAATTTTCAGTTGACAAGTGTCTCGATGAAGTGGATGCAATGAAACTTACTGATGTGGAGAAGGCGTATGATATGAATATCTTCAAATCTGAGATTGACAGGGAGGTATTCATGAAAATGAAAAACAAAAATGTTCGCTTGATTTGGCTCAAACAGCCGATTAGGTAATGCTTAGCTGCCACTAGATTAGTTTACTTTGGTATGCCTTAGCAGCTAATGCTTTTTCTTGTGCTTACTTGCAGTGGTATCAGTGGAGGCATTGCTGGTGGAGGCAATGTTTGAATTGAGAAGAAAAACGCAGCTGCAGTCATTGTATGCAGGTATATTATTTGAACAACAGCTTGCACTTGCCAACAGCTATGACTGTCAATTGATCTTATTTTTTATTAGCCTAGGAATTACCTGTTCTGCGTAGTATGCTACTGCTGCTTCTATATGTGTGGATAATTAACATATCTGTAGCAGAAAACTTGTCTGCTTATCCTTTGTGTGTGTTTTCCCATTTTTTTGTGAATCATGAATTGGCATATATGAGTAGGAGGGATGGACGGGTAGATAGAGATAGAGAACATTTATGAGCAGTCATGAATTGGCAGCTATGAGATGTTTAAAGTTTTCAGATATGCCAATGGGAATTCTTTGTGAATCATATACCAATTCTCACGTTTTCTTTGTGAATTCTTTGTGAATCATATACCAAGTTTAAAACTAGCGTTACAAGCCCTTCAAGTATTCCGGGAACCATATACCAATTCTCACGTTTTCTGAGTTCTGTAAAACTACATGTGTAAAAAATGTAGGTGCATCAGGTGGAGGTTATAATGACCATTCTAGCAACGTGCTCTGAGTGTAACCTACGTAGTGGCTTGGTGAATTAATGAGAGCCTTAGTTCTCAGTTTACTTCCTACGCCTATATAGATTGCTGGCTGCACACTCTTGGTAGGGGGTGTACGTGAAATCACTTGCTTCCTGGTTCAACAACAGAGACAATAGTATCCCAAATAACGAAGATGTTGATGAGCACAAGAATATAGCATGGCAATGGGAATTGTGTGGCGACCCAGCCATCAAAGGATTCTTTTAGCAGTCATCAAAGCTATGAGATTTTTTTTTTGTGAATCATGAATTGGCATATATGAGCAGTCATGAATTGGCATATATGAGTAGGAGCAGTCATTTTTTTGAATCATGAATTGGCAGCTATGAGATAGTTCATATCCGTTTCTGTGATTAATTCAGTACATATCTTTTTCTGTTTACATTTAAATGACTTTCAGTGAACTGAGTTATCATCTACTGTTTGACTATGTTAGCATGTACTGATTTTCAGATATTGATTACTTTCAGTGAATAAGATTTTTAGACGATGATGTAGTCAACTTACAACTTGATATTGACTACAATTGTTGACACTAATCTGTGACCATCCTCAAATTAATTGATGTTTCCCTTAACTAGATTTGTCATGCAACACATTGTTTCTGTGTTTCTGTTAGCCTAGGTTGACACTTGTTATTTATCTAAGCATCTACGTAGTTCTTAGCACTTTCCTTCCCTGAACCAGCAACCTTTTCTTCCTTGTACAAAGTTATGCAATTTCATTTCAGCAAAGTTTACTAATAAATTAGGGTATGATATTCATCAATGTTTTGAGCACTTACCTATGAATTAGTCCTGTAGGCTTGTAGCTGCAAGCTATTTTACCTATGAATACTATTGTGCGTAGTAATGACAGTATTTGTTGTGGCATGCCACATGTTTACCCTTGGTTCAAGTTGATGTATCCTAGCAACACTAGATTAGTTTACTTTAGGTATGTCTCTAGCTACTAATGCTTTCCCTTGTTTACGTGCAGGCCTCTTGGTGTGGAAGCAAATGCATGATTTGAGAAGAAAAATGTTTTACTAGTTGCAGTGCCTATGTGAGGAGCTTATGCAAAGGAGTTCTTTTTTCTCTCTCGAACACTGCTTATGAAAGGAGTTAAACCATATTTTTTTTGATTATATGTCTTGGATATCTGGATGGATTTGATCTGTGATTTGGTGACGAATGTATTAGCTAGGTTGAATTTGCCACTTGAATTAAATTTTCTATGTATTGAACTATGTCAAAAAAATTATCATTCCATATTCTTGATGCGGGCTTCTCATGTTACTCAATTATTTGCATTATTTTGGTTTTTGTGATTTTCCATGCATTATTTTCATGAAAATGTTGTGGTTGACATTAGTCTGTGGTGGATTCCTCATATTATTCAAAAAAATTCTGATTTTTCTTGATTTTCTAAGACATCAATGCAAACCTGTTGCAAAGCTGACATCGATCTGTGATAACATCAACGCAAAGTGACATTGATCTTATGAATATTGGTATTGTTTCTGGTTTCACAAAATCTGAGAAAGTGGGAAACGTTCATGATATTGTGCTGCCAAACGACGACAAGGAAACTCTCCCACAGGTGGTAATCTTCCCTGGGGCAGAGGCGGGAATCAAAAATCCAAATAATTCCACGTGCAGGGTTATCTGCCCAGGGTTAATTGGCCTCCGCTGCCAAAGTAGCCATTAGAGAGCGGTGGAGAGGGCGGCGAGTCGCCGACAGCCCAGGCCGCGGAACGCTGCTGCTGGTGGCGGGCGACGGGAGGCGAAAGATGCAGATGGTAACGCGAGGAATACATAACAGAAGACTCAGAAATATACATGCTAGAGCTAGTACAAAAGAATGCAAACTACTACTGTCGACATCATGTCCATCTACCAAGTTACACATGTGGAGTGGATCATAAGAAAATAGCTTTCAGGCAGATCACTCGTCTCGAGCTGAGGTATCATCCTCTCAAGAGTGAGATCCATTTACTAACACTGACAGCACATGTATTTATAGTATATGCCAGAAAGAAAAAAAAAAATAGAAGGCCAAAAATGGAACAGGAACAGGGTTGCCTTCCAACCCTAGTATCTGCCTAACCAAGCTGAATTTTGTATAGCACCGTACACTAGTAACAGAACAGCCTTCACGCCTTCGAGTACTTTGAGCTCCACATTGGTACCTTCAGAGGTTCGTCGTCGGGGGCACTGCCCCCGTTTTCAGCAGCGCTCAGGGAGTCCGAGATCAGAGGGTTTGATTCACCCTATTTCACGTGATGTCAATGACATGCAACTTGTCAAGAAAGTTTCTAGATAACTAGAACAGCATAGTAATGTTTCCACAAAAATATAAATGTTGCATATCAAATGAAAAGATTTGACAAAAGATTAATGGAACAACAAAGATTTATAGATCTCAATCCGACAGTAGTTGTACTGAAACTCATGCTACGTGGATACTGTTCTGTCACCAGACTAATAAGAATTTTAGTTTCAAACTTCCATGAAATTTATCTGTTCGAATGTTATCTGCTTAAAACCCGATACTATCCATGGAATTTATCTGCTCAAAACACGATACTATCCATGTAAGTTAGCTAGCCATTGCAGAACATACCTGAATGACTTGCGGGGAGACTTCTGCTGGTTTTTGCTGAGTCTCTCTAGTGCAGAAGTATGAATACAAAACCATCCCAATTACCGCAATGAGGATTCCAAGTATGTTTCTCCAGCTAAACGGATCGTGAAGCAGAACATAGCCAAAGGTGAGAACCAAGCATGTTTTCAGATGCCCAAGAACTTGGTAAGTTACAGGAGATGTCTTCCCAATCACGAGAAAAGTGCTGAAGTTTACTGAGACTGAAATCAGGCATGACAACACGATGAAAAACTGCAGAGAATAAATGCAGACCCATAATCAGATGAAGTAATAATCAACAATTAACGTAAATTCCCCAAAGCCTGATTTAATGCTTACCAGAACTTGAGTTGTGTAATCAAAAGCAAAGACATTTTGGTTAGTCAAAAACCCATCAAGGAATGGACCGATAAGGAACAAAGTCAATGCTTGGTATGGGCAAGATTGGTACAGAAGCTGCGTTGAAGATACCTTGAACTTCTTCTGTATTGTATTTGTCATCTGATGGCTTGTTAAGGACTCAACTTATACATCACAGGACACTAATAGTCAAATTAAAGGCTTCTTCAGTGGCAACAATCCCCTTTTTAATGAAATGTGCTGGAAATATGCACATCACCACATTAAGATGAATGTGCTGATGTGCAATAAGCTGATGACAATACTAAACACGACAATGTATAACATGTTTGAAATTTATGCTCAACAGGTAAGCTAAATAATACAGTAGAGGAAGAATTAGCTTCTATTGACATATTAGCGCTTTGCCCCCTTTTTTGTAATATTAACAACCTCAAACACATGCAAAGTTTGTAGTGTGCAAATGATTCTGTGACAGATGTACCACATAAAAGAAAATAATGAGTATATGTCCAATTGAAAGGATACGATCTGAGCAATACAGGTTGTGATGATTGCCAGCAGGGACAGTACGGATCCCACAGTGTTGAGTTGCAGATCAGTTACAGTTGCAACACCAACACCAACAAGGAGCACACTAAGGGAGAGCTTGATATTCCGACTGCACAGTAAGGTCAGTGGAAATGATTAGATGATATATTATTGAGCTGCATAAAGCACATAATGTATTACAAACAAACCTAAATTTCTTCCTGAAGAAAAGGGTCTCCAATATAACAGTACAGGGAATAATAGCCAGCTTTGTCATCTGAATATACACAATATTTCGTTATGAGTTTGGTGGAGTGATTAGGATGTGAGATGGAGTGGCATTAATAGCGTCAAACTGAAACCATGTTTCTAGGACATTTTTGGCCCATCCTGATATACCTTTACTGATGACAGTACATCATTTTATGGGCGCCGAATAAGAAATTAGTGCCAGATCACCCAATAAACCTTAAGTTTGGATGAATACAAATAGAATTAGAGAAAAAAAGGGGTGTATACCTGATAGAAACCAACAGAATTGAAACCCAGACTCAAGTTAAGAAGTCCGATCGATATGCCATTGAGCACTCCAAATCCCATGACGGTCCTTGCATCGAAAGGTTTGTGCTCAAAGAGCTTCATACATAATGCCACATGGAGAGAGCAGAACGTAACCAGGAGATGCCAGCTTGTCAAAGTAGTGGCTGCGAAACAAATACCGCATTTCATTAACACTTGGAGGAAAACCTGCCTCCTTTGCTATTATTGTCTGTTTATAGACGGACTATCACTTGACGACACATGGTGACACAAAATATCAATGTAAATTAATGCGATCGGATTCCAAAAATAGATCAAACGGTTAAAACATATCCACGTGCAATCAATAGCAAAAGTACGACGTGTTTTACTGCTAAAGATCACAGAGACCATTTTGGTATCACTTAAGCTGAACCCAGCCCCTTTTCCACGGCATAACCAATTCCAGTAAGTCACCTTAGCCCTATCATATGAACTCACAGTTCACTCATTCTCCAACTCAGGACACCAAATATTCGATCCACAGATATTCAAGCTAATTTGCGCTTGCCCCTGAAACTGTGAAATCTCTCGCAGCACCAGTCTCCTCGTACCAATTCACAGCACAAAGCCGCTGTGCAGTTGTGCAGCACCCACCAATTCCCACTGCTCCCTAAACCCGCGTGGACTAATCTTGACCGCGCGCCTCAGCAGACAGCATACGAGTAAAAACATGGAGCAGAAGCATTTAAGAGCCAAACAGTAGCTGACTGGAAAGGAGCCAAGCATCTCGGACAAGATTGGATCTCATACCGAAGTTGAAGCCGAGGGAGCTCATGAGAGCCTTGTTGCAGATGACGATGGAGACGGAGGACACCACCGAGAGGCTGAGCGCCCCCACCGTCCCCAGCTGGAACTTCTCCGCCGCCACCCCCATCTCCACCCCGCCGCAGCAAGAGGACACGCAGAGCTGTAAAACCCAAAAACTCGCCGGCCCCAAAGCACCAAACCACGCCGCCGACCAGCACCTGCGAAGCACAAAAGGTCACATTTCGATCAAGCAACCGCAGCAAGAACACCAGGAAGCAGCCAAGAGCCGGCCTTTCCAGCCAAAACTACCTCTTTGCTCCCAAAGAACAGAATTCAGCCAAACAGGCAAGATCTGGGACTCTGGGAGACGAGCTCGTGAATCTGAGCTGAGCGCGGGACTGGCAGTGGCACGGGGACCTGAGAAACGAGCTGGGGCAGGGCGGCAGGGGCTGGATCGGTGGGCTTGGCTTCGCGGCTGCGTCCTTGGCCTCCTCCCTCCCCCCTCTCCTGCTCACCGGAGACGGAGACGGGTGTTTTATACAAAAGAAAAGAAAGATATTATTGTTGGTCATCTCGGGTTGGTGGTGGTTGCTGAGGGGCAGATGTGTAATATTTTTTGTCAGGGGTGATCAAGGAGTTTTCTCAGGGTCAATTTGGTTTGGACTTTGGAATGTAATGTACTTTGCACGTGTTTAATGAGATTTGTAATTTTTTTGTATTTGAAAGTATATATTGTTTGGTGAGGTGTTTGGTGGACTCAACTCAAATACGAGCTGGCGAGATTCAATTGTTGTTTCAAATTAGGTCCAAATACTTAATAAGAGTACTTCATTTGCCTCGTACGACTGATTGATAGATAATTTCATATTGTCGGCGTACGACTGATTGATAGACAATTTCATATCATATTATCGGCGTATTGTGATGCGTTTTTTTTAAGTACTCTTAGGGGTGTTTGTTCTTTAGTCGCTCTTAAAATTTATGTCACATCGAATATTTAAATACTAATAAAGAGAATTAAATATAGATTAATTATAAAACCAATTACATAGACGGAGGCTAATTTGCGAGACGATTTTTTAAGCCTAATTAATCTGTCATTAGCACATGTTTACTGTAGCATCACGTTGTCAAATCATGGACTAATTAGGTTTAAAAGATTCGTCTCGTAAATTAGTCGCAAGTTGTGTAATTAGTTTCGTAATTAGTCTATATTTAATACTCCATGCATGTGTCTAAACATTCGATGTGACAGGAATTTTGGAAGCGCAGGTAGAAATCAAACAGGGCCTTATATGTGAATGGAGGCTATCATCTCCCATTTGTTGAATACTATATAGTGAGGTTGTATCTGTGTTGCTTAGTTGTAACGCCCTGACCCGGGAAGACGGCTAAGATCTACCCTACATATTGAATGGACCACACGCTTCACTTTAAAAAGTTAATTAACTCTCTCGGATCCGCTTTGCGTCCTCGCCGAGGTGGTAAAAGGTTCGAACCGTGGAGTTAACAACCACCGTGTCTAGGCTTTCGCCCAAAGATCAGACCGGTTAGCGGGTCTCACATTAGTGGATGCCACTTAGCTTCGAGGTGGTACTAATTAACTTGTCAATCAATCAATAAAAATGCTCAAATCTTTCTTTTTCGCCAAAAAAATTATATAGTCCAAAGAGTCGAACCAACCTATCTAAATGGGATAAATATTCAGGATCGACTCTCTCGACCTACGTCCATATTCCTAGCTCCCCGGTTCAAGTGCCATGCTCTTGCAGGCCATAGGGCCACGACAGCTCAACAGGATGTTGCGGGAATCTCAACGCGCCAACGCGGTGATCCATACTCCACGAAAGAGCCATATGTTTGTGACGAACCTCTCTCCGTGAGAGAAAATGTAGTAGTATAGGAGTGCTTGGTCTAGAGAACATAAGTTCTCCCTAGCCAGATTAAATATTTGTAGAGAGTTTAAACATGCGTGAAAAAATGTCTGGGAAGTGATTATATGGATTGATTTATTTTGTACACATAAGATTTAAGGACTTGTGAGTTTAGGATGTAAGCGTTGACTAGCCTCAATGCGCTACACAACTAAAATATGTCTACAACCACCCAAAATAAGTACATTTCTTCTAAGTATGCATTTGGACAAGTGATTAAGAAAAATTATTAGTTCTTTTCATCATAATCATCATGTGAATGAAGTAGTGGTGATAACATATAAAGTTACTTACTTTTGCCCTTCGAGTTCAAGCGAATCATTGGGCGTTGGTGAGGAAGCGGAACTAAGTACCGTGTGGGAGGCTCACGGACCTGCAAGTAGACACTCATAAAATTTTAGTTATAAACAAGAGACGCCTTGACTATCTGAATCAAGTCAATTATTTAAGACATTGACCTATCTCGGAAGAGGAGTCGAGAGAAGCGAGAAACCGTGCCTACCGCCTCCCGACTCGTCGTCCTCGTGCGACCCCTCCTCCTCGTCAAAGTAAAAAATTCTTTGAAACCAGCTCCTCGTCAGGCCTCGTCCCACGAGCGCCACCTCCTCCTCGGCTCCTCCTCACGTGGCATGGGAGGAGGCGGCCCTCCTCACTCATCCATATATATCTCATCGTGGTCCTCCTCCTCCTCCTCCTGTCCGATCCCTAAATCCACGCATCCCCTCCGCCTCCTCCTGAACAACAAATGAAAAAAAAATAGGCGTGGTTGGTAAATCAAGTTCATGGACCTATGAGAAAACGGTGCTTTGCCATCTTTATTCAATCACCGCAATCCAAAAAAAAAAACAAGACATAATTAGAAATAGGTGCAAAAATGAACAAAACATAATTACAAAAAACATAGTAATACATGTATTAGAAATATATGCAAAAATGAACAAAACATAATTACAAAAAACATAGTATTACATGTATTAGAAATAATCTTCATGATTAAGATTAGCTGGATCATAGGTCTCGTCATCACTATCAACATTGTCCAACTCATCAACACTATCCGAAGGAGGAATGTTGTCTTCATTGTCATTGCATAAATGTAATCGCTCAAGCATTTGTATGTCCTTCAGATTTCGCACCTCGTCTCCAGCGTCCTCGTCATCATCCCTTTCATTGTCTACTTCTATTCCTATCTCTTTGGTTAAGTCTATGTCAAACCTCCCTTGTAGCCCCTATTCTTGATAGAACTCTCCATCATATGTGTTTGGGTTGAAGTTGTAATCTTCATCGTTTGGGACAGGTAGTTTACCGTGTGGCGATACCTTGTGCACAATAGACCAACCCTTAAGATGCTCGGCGTCTTTGCACACGTATGACATATAATAAACCTAGACGGCCTGTTGAGCAACAATGTAGACATCTTTTCCTAGATAGACGGAATCCTATCGAATCTTGACTAACCCAAGCTTAGGGGTCTGTCTCGTTACTCCCGGATGAAACCAGTGGCATTTGAATATGACAGGAGTAAGAGGTTTTGAACCATAGAATGATAGTTCGTAGATTTCTTCAATTCTTCCATAATAGTCGAGTCCATCAGTGCCGGACGTAACAACTCCGCTGTTTGTGGTTTTTCGATTGGGCCGACTCTGCTCATAGCTTGCTGTGTGAAAACGATATCCATTCACGTCATAACCGGTAAATGACTTGACCCTAATGGCACAGCCGTTTGCAACCCGTCTCAGCTCGTTACTTATAGGCACATCAGTTTGGGCTTTCTGTTTGAACCAACAAATGAAATCGGGGCTCTCCGGTCCCGCACCCTGTGAAAGAAGGGTATCATTTTCTTGCGGGGTAGGTTGCCTTAATCCATGCCAGGATTGACGAAGAAATTCTCTGTACCAACGAGAAATAAGGGGGTTGGACGAAGAAACAAGGACATACGACGAAATAAAACAAGCTCGTTCAGAACTTACCTAATAAATGGCTGCACCTCTACAAGGTTGGTCAACACATATAGCATGATACTGCGCCACTCTTCATTTTTCAATTGCTTAGTGGTCGGTGCACTTGCGCTTCCGAGTTGCCCTTGGAAAAGGCCGAGGTTCGATTCATTTTCGCCAGCATTGTAACGAGGGGGTGTATTATAAACGCTAGGAAGGTTCTCAGTGTAGTATTTCTCTATGAAGTTCGACACCTCCTCTAGAATGTATGCCTCTACAATGGAAGCCTCAATTTTGGCTTTATTTCTACATTTCTTGCGAAGAGTCTTCAGACATCTCTCGATTGGATAGCACCAACGGTACTGCATGGCCCCCCCATCTGTGCCTCATACGAGAGGTGCACAATCAAATGTTGCATCGGCAAGAAGCAGCCGGGTGGAAAGATCTTCTCCAACTTATAGAGCAACATGGGTGCCGCTTTTTCCAAATCATCAATGACGGTCTGAGAGAGCTCCTTGGCACAAAGCTAGCAGAATAAGTAGCTCAACTCTGCCAGCACTTGCCAGACATGCTCCGGAACATAGCCTCGAACCATCGCTGGAAGAAGCCGCTCAATCCATATATGGTAGTCATGACTCTTCATCCTGTTGACTCACAGAGTGCCTAAGTTCACTCCCCTCTTTAGATTCGTTGCATACCCATCAGGGAACATTAGCGTCTGGATCCATTCAAGTAATTCCCTCCTTTGGTCCTTTTTTAAGACGAAATCGGTCTTAGGCCTTCTCCAAGTCTTGCCACGACTAGGAGGCTGCATCTCTTGATTTGGTCTATCGCACAACATTGCCAGGTCCATTCTAGCCTTAGGGTTGTCCTTAGACTTTTTAGTGTCCATGAGTGTTGCCCAAAGTGCCTCGGCGACATTCTTTTTAGTGTGCATTACATCAATGTTATGTGGCAGAAGAATGTCATTGAAATAGGGGAGCCTCGTCATGCCTGAGATATGAGTCCACATATGTTGCTCACCATATCCCACAAAACCACCTTCTTCATTGGGCATGAGAGCATCTATCTGAGCATGAACCTCGGCACCAGTCATCATCTGCGGTGCAGGGTTCATCACTTTGACACCTTTCATAAAGTTCTTGATGTCTTATCTAAGTGGATGGTCAAGAGGTAGGAATTGACGATGTCTGTCGAACAACGAATACTTGCCATCCTTCTACAACCAAATGAACCTCACACCTTCCTTACATATT